GGAATTGAACTCAGGACCTTCTTGATGTGCGGGAACAGTGCTAACCACCGTGCCACCGTGCTACAGTAATACGCCCAATGAGCAAATTGGTCAGGAAATTGAGAAATTTCAAAATAAAGGGAGCTGTTGAATCAAATTGTCTCTTTTTAAACACATTTTGCCTCAGCGTAGCTCGCAGCCCGAGTAAAGCCAACGTGTGTGACAAATACCGGATTTTAAAAACACAGCTGAAGGGACTTCAAAGAGAAACTTAATTCAGCTTTGTACCTGTCACAGGTGGGTCACAGGACTCTCCGTTAAATATGTGAGCGTCGGCTCTCAGTGTCTGATATTCCAGTGTGTTAGGATCCCCCAGGACCATGTTCTCCTGCTGAAACACTGGTATATATCCTTAAAAAGAACACAAATAATCAAATAATAAATAATAACTCAACAATATCCAGCAGCCAATAAAATGCCTGTGTATGGAAAAAAAGCAGATCTAGCCTACCTTCCTGAAGGGTCGGATTGTCATGGACCAGCCATGGCTGCTGAACCTGCTGGTAGGCGGGGTCAGGGTAGCTCAGGTAAATATTGTTGTGGTCCATATTTCAGGATTATTGTTGAGGCCTGGAGCGGTGGCAGGTTCCTATAATAAAAATGCATAAATGTGCACCATATTTATGAGCCTATTAAAACCTACGAATACATCACCTTTGTTATTTGAACCACAGAGAAGATGGCAGAGAATAATTGTTGTGTTGGTTCAGATGTGCAACAAAGATTAACAAAATCCATGAAGCCAAAAAGAAATGTAGCTCAAATGTTCACCTTGTATCCACTCTGTGTTTAAATGTTTCTGCTAATTGTGATCCTGTGATATCAAAGCATTAACAGGAAGTTTATGTACCTCACCGTTCAGACTGTGCTCATGCATCAAGGACACTTGTATGAACAGTAACATGTTATGTAACTTGCACAATGGCTGCTTCCAGTTGTCCAGTTGCTCAATTTTTGCCTGTATATGAATGAAACCACGACACATGAACCAAATCCTGTTCTTACAGGCTTTTTCTTCAAACATTTAGCGTGTGAATGTTATCGCTCAGCCCAGTCAGTCGGCATACTGAGCGAACACGTACAGACTGAATGCAATCTGTGTGCCAGTCCCACATGCAGGTCCCCTGAGGCATCACTGTGCTGTAGGGATAAGCTCCCAGCAGAGCCATAGAGGATTGGAGCTCTGAGACAGATTCTGGGCACTTCCTGCTCTCGCCCTGCCCAGGCTCGGCCTCAGACGCCTCCTGAGCTCAGCCTTCCAGTTCACCTCCAGACCCAGTTCGATCCAGGAGTGGGGGCAGAGAAGACAGATGAAGGAGTCTGCATCGTCTCCCAGCAGTTTAGAGACCATCACTTATATCTCTTTCCTTCTCTACCTCCTCAGGAGCAGCAGCAGGTTCATGACCCAGGAAGTGAATCTCATAAGATGAAGTTGAAGCATAAACATCGATCTGATTGGGGTCTAAGGCAACCAAGGTGTAGTCCTCTTTGCTGCTGTGTGTGGTTGTCCACAGCCAACTGAAACACTGATCTCAGGATGACTTAATAATGAAAACCTTTAAAAATGGGTGAGTGTCTTCTTCTTCTACTGTAATTTTTTCTAATTGTGTAGAGAAAAAAAATAATCTACGCGCCCTGAAAATTAAATCCCTGAGTTTTCTTCATTTTTGTCCTCTTTCCCCCATAGTGTGCATTGTCCTGCCTCCCTATGCTCCCCCTTTCCCACAACCTCCACTTTGTCATGGGAGACCACTGCCACCCCCCGAGTTCTTCCTTCCCGCCAAAGTGAAAAGTGATTGTTCATAAGTGGGTTGCTTAATTAGGTATAGAGATAAAGACCCAAATGAATATTGTTGTTGCACCTCATGGCGACTGCTCAGCTGGTGCTGTATAAATACACCTGAACTGATGAGGGTCATTACATCTCAAATCATCACATTTTCACAACATTTTCTGCTCAGCCACCTCTGATGTC